CACACACACACACACACACACACACACACACACACACTCCCATTTCTAAACTTGGTGCCGAAAAGGTTCAACAACACTGCCTTGTAGTATCATAAGCTGTGCTCTTTGAGGAGTTGTAGCAAATCAAGTTTAATGACCCTGTAACCACAGTATCCTGAATCTCTTCAGATTACTTCAGCTTGCGGCACCATTTCTCAAAAATCTAATTTATTTCATTATGGTTTTCCGTCATTTCTGCCTACACACTTCCCTATTATTAAATTCTCTACTGCAGCCCCCTTCCTCGATTGATTTTCTTCTCCTACCTCACGATGGGGAAGTCTGGCTTTCTTGTCTTTCTGACCAGGGAGTTAATTAGACAGGATGTTACCTGGGACTAAGACCTGCATTTCCAGAATGCCGTTGCGCAGAATAATTTTGGGCTGCAGGAAATAACACTGTGACACTTTATTATACAAGGTAAAGTTGGAAAAATGAGTGAGCATTTATGAAAAATACTTCAATGCCACCCCAACTAAACAAAAAAGTAATATGTGGAGGAAGTTCCTAAGCAGTGGCGATATATAATCTAGTTCAGGCATGTCAAACACAAGGCTGGATGTGGCCTGTGATGTGGTCGGATCCGCCCATGGGGCCAGCCTGGAAAATGTAAGGGGCTGGCCCGTGTCACTTAGGTCTGGTCTACCCACGTCACTTCGGCCTGGTTTACCCAGTGCAAAGAGAAAATATTGGGCCAGTGTGGCTTCGACCTGGTCTACCCAGTGTGAAGAGGAAACATGCCAGCAGTTTGGGGAGTGGTGTCAAGCTGGCCACGCCCACCCAGTTGGCCATGCCCCCCCCCGGCCCCTCGAGGTCACCCACAGCCCTGATGCGGCCCTCAATGAAATTGAGTACCTTCACAGAAATAGGAGAAAGGACAAGATATATTTTCCAAGTGGCTGGTAGAAGATAGGGCAAAGAACATATATCTCCTCTACTATATAGCTTCAGGAACATTTAAGCACCAAACAAAATTAGACTGTGCCGATGTGAACTCTGATCAAGGTTATTGAAACGATCCTCCTCAGTTTCTAAAATCAGCCTATAATCATTGGTAAATTAAAGTAGATACTAACTGGCCCTTAAGACGTTAAAGCTACCTAATGAAGATGAGTTTATGGCTTCAAAAGGTTTTTTTTTTTTAAACTGCCACTTGAATTTCACTTTTGCACCATAATGCAAACAAAAGAACAGGACCTATCCAAAAGGATACCATGCTGCTTGTTCCCAAGAAACACAAGAGTTGTTGTGTCATCCTGCATTGATGACAATCCAGGTATACCATGGACCCATTGTTTATTTATCCAAGAATGTTTTCATTGGGTAAATATAGCATCAACCTTATGAACTCTCAAATTACCTCTTTCCACTATGTATTCAAAATGGACTGTGTGTGTGTGTGTGTGTGTGTGTGTGTGTGTGTGTGTGTGCGCGTGCTCACAATAAAAACATGACAATAAAGTTAACTATCTTATCTAAATGTGGAATAGATGAAAGGACTTAATAATGGTCTTTGGTAAACTGCCACAGCATAATTATCTGTATCTTGCCTTTTATTATTTTTACAAATAACTCAAGGTGGTGAACATATCCAACATACTATAACATTTGACTAGGTTTTTTTAAAAGATTTTTTTTCCCAAACTGAAATATTTTTGTTTGCATCAATTCTGAAACATAATTGTGTCTCTCCATTGATCACAGCTCTACACAGCAGCTGTGTAGTTCTAGTTGCTAATGATCTCTTCAAATATTTGACTGAATCATTAAAATGCCTCCTTCTCTGTTGGAGAGGGTAAAATTCTAATAAAAATGGAATAAGTTATGTTAATAATAAGCTGAAATTCTTGATGTAAAGCCCATATATCCTCAAGGTTCTCTTAACTGATATTAGAAGTGGAAGTCCCTCAGGCAGTGATTCAAGGATACAGATGAAGTAAGTTTATTCAAAACTACACCCAATTTATTCCAATCTTGATTCCCTTAATATATCTGCATATTTCGGAATATAAGACGCACCTTTTTCCCTCAAAAAAGAGGTTGAAAATCTTATACACTGAATACAGCATTTTTGCCTCTTGAAACCCGACCCCCTTCACCAAAATGGCCATGCATAGCTTTTAGAAGGCTTTCAGAGAGATCCTGGTGGCTGGGGAGGACAGAAATGAGTGAAAAACGGACCATTTTTTGCTCAATTTTGCCCCCCTCAGCCACCAGGAGCACTCTATAAGCCTCCTAAAGGCTATCCAGGCCCCCCCTTTTTTGACAAAAACTGGCCAGTTTTCACAAAAAATGGGCCATTCTTTGCTCATTTCCCCCCCCCCATCCCCCCAGGAGCACTCTACAAGCTTCCTAAGGGCTATTCATGCCCTTTTTTTTGAAAAAAAAACCTGGCCCATTTTCACGAAAAACGGGCCGTTTTTGGAAGGTTTGCAGAGTGCAAAACTTTTTTTTTTTATTTGCCTCTTCAAAACTTTGGTGCATCTTATACTCCGGTGTGTCTTATACTCTGAAAAATACGGTATATGCAGCATATAAATTATATTAGGGAAGAGCCACAGCCTTGTTACATTCCTTTGCCAATCAGGAACCACTTCATTTTGTTATGTTCTGCCTGTATGGTGGATTCCTGTTCTGACGTTTCTCTTAAGTGCAATGAGATATTCTAGGATTCCATTACATTTATCTGGAATTTATCAAAAGCTAATCCACTTTTGGCAAAGTTTCCGTAAGGTGATAGTTTTCTACTTCGTTTCATTTCAAAGTTATTTCATTGCAATTTCGGGTTTTCAATTTCAAATATATAATATGTGAAGGATGTATGTTTGTGTTTTTCTTTTATAGTTATAATGTATACTGAAGTTGGCATTTAATTTCATTGTATGATGTGCAATGACAATAAGCTAAGCTAAGCAAAGCAAAACTAAACAAACTAAACTAAAGATTAAGGCTCATATAACAAAAATGTTTCTGCACACAGAAATACTAGCATTTGGGCTCCAGTCTAATGTTCTCCCTCACATATGGAATGGAATTCCATCATAACAACCTCCACTTCCATCATTAAGAATCAGGAAGACAATCAGGAGTACAAATGTACCAGTTCAGGTACAATTGATGAAAGCTAGGTGAAACACCAAGAAATAAGTAGGGCTTACAATTTAATATGAACAAGTAATAATTACTGACTAAAAATTTCAGGATGGCTAGAATTTTGAAATTAAGTTTGCCCAGGAAATATATACCTTACCTCATCTGCTCTTCGGAGAAGCCCAGTTATAACCTGAAAATGAAGGAAGGAAGGAAGGGAGGGGGGGAGGGAGGGAGGGAGGGAG